GATCCAGAAAGCAAACGAATGTGAATTAGTTCTCAGAATATAAAAGTTTTTCGAACTTTACTGCAGACGAGAATAATTGACGAGTTCAAAATTTAATATTCAGGGCGTGGCGACATTTTATACGAGTCTATTTAACCGACGGTGCTAGAGATCTGAACACGTGGGAACTGCAGCGGAAAATTTACTTCATATGGAATTGAGGATAGTAATTGACTTTCGATTAAATTACGGAAATGGTTTTTTGACTTCGCTTGCAGGTGATGAAACTGCCTTTACGAAAATGAATGAATGAAAAGTTTCTAGTTTTGACGCAAAACTCATTGCGTGCTATTAATAAAATTCATGATAAAAAATTCGATCCCACAAAAAAATGAATTAAAAGTATATAAGATGGAATGAAGGTTATTATGTCGCACAAAAAATAATTATTATAAATTGTTTTGCGGCTAAAAACGCTTATCGCTCCCAAGGAAGATGGGAAAACTATTATGAGTAATGTTTTTAATAAAATCGAAAATTACTTTATACATAAATGATTCTACAAATTCGGCAAAGTGGTTGCCGGTTCCATAGAATCGGCAATTCCGCGATTTCGGCACGACAAGTAAAAAATAAGTAATTATTTTTTGTATGCAATATTGCCAATGGAACATAAACATAAGCTGTAATCCGAAATTAACTAATTGTATTTGAGGAAAAGCAATAGGAACGTGTTGCTAATGGACTCGGACCCTGGCAAGAACATACATAATGCGCACATTTTTTGGCCCTCAGACCGGCAATGCCCAAAATTACGATGCCTTGCTCGATATTTTTCGCTCAGGTATGCACTTAATACCGGCAGTTATGTAATGCATATCGATTTGACATAACGTGAGGAAATTCTTCATTAGCCCATTTGAAACTAATCGCTCATACGTCGTTAGAATCTCATGGCAAACTACTATTTGTTAGAGAAAATAATGGCAGGAGGTGCCTCATGTTTTGTGTAATGATGGTCCATGTTCTCCATTATGAAATAATTTCGCTATTTCATCGAAAAAAAAATCGAAAGAAATTTGCGCCGGAAATTATCGAAAAAAAAACTGAATTGATTTTCATCTAAGATGTTATTTAAAGAGCCAGCTTAAAAATAGATCAATTAATAAATATTTCGATAATATTTCTGGTCGATAATATTTAGTATCGACCAATAATTGATGAATCGACGAATTATTGAAATTATTATTTGGAAAATTTGTATATAGCAACCCAACTACTCTTTAACACTCACTTCTCTGTGCCCACTGTGCTGGGCGAGGCAGTCATTTTAAGCTTATTAGAAAATGTGTATCCGTGCCGATGTATTAGTATTCATTATTTAATATTTACTCAAGTATACCATGGTATTACTTTCAATTATTTTTTTAATGTATCTGCTAATTTTCTTTTACATTCTATAGTTGAAAGCCTAATAATAAATTCAGTTTTGGTAGAAATGTTAACTGAATAACAAGCAGTTAAAACATTAAAACGAACAAAGGTATAAGACATTAAATAATCATGGATAAGCCTTCAAGAAAAACATAATGATCATAAATTTATAAGCGGAGTATTCTCTAGCACCCTACTTGACTTCAGCAGATTGCGTTGCACCGTCATGATATTACCCACATAATTTATTAGATTTTCTGACAGAAATTAATCATTTACTTATAAATATTCGGGCTGGGCAAATTTTGTGAACCATAATAAATTATTATTAGATCCTCACTTTATTTTTCATAGTAAATAAAGCGTCGATTTCACCATTAAAAATTCACCAGATGAATTCTCACAATTAATAGAAAGTATTCTAGACAATATTGTAATTTCCTGATTATCTTTGGTATACTATTGAGCTACTTCTAAGAAATAAATAAGGTAAGCAAACCAGGTGTTCAGGATGAATTCAGTTCGCATTTAACTGCCAACAAAAAGTTCTGGAGCCAGCAAAGCAATCAAAGGCAAGCGGTCTGGAGTGCAATCTGATGCTTTGAATTGAACTCGAAATGATTTGTTAGCGATTTTTTTCGGAATGAAGCACCGTTCCGAATGATGCTATGTTTGATGCTATATAAATTTAGTTGGAGCTATATCTATTTAGAGCTTGAACGCATTTTATTTCATTTCTGAATAAGTTGATTAAATTCCATTTGATGATAAAATTTAAAAAATACTTACACATATCAAATAAATTTAGGTTACAACTTGGAATTAGAATGTATTAAAGTTTTAAGGAGAGATATAAATCAACAAATTTTACGATTAGGAATATTTGGCAACAATTCCAAACTCTGCTACTTTACCTACGAGTAAGAAACTATGAAATAATAATCCAGTAAAATAACAAATCAACGTTCTGATTTATGTAAAACTGTCTGTAAGTTCTTTTAATAAATCTAATAAATGCCACACAATGTCAGCAGCTAGAATGACCTCCAAAACCTGAGACAAAGCACAACAAATTTCGAAAATATCTTTCAAAAATACAAGCTCAGCGATTATTGTATAAAATAGGCTAACTTCCCTATGCAAAGTCACAAAAATATCATAAATTGAAAGAACATCGTCAACAGGCACCGGATATAAAACCGATTTTTCGAAAAGCTATAAGAACGTGAAGGAAAAATGCCAAACGACAAAAGGAAGTCTCGAGTCGAGAAGCCAAATCTGAGAATCTCCACCCCTTTCGTGCAAGTCGACTGAGGGAATTGATTTTTATGCCTAAGTCGCCATTATGGTCGTGTTTACGCGGTGCTATTGGGCAAATTTCAATTTATCACGAGCCTTCTCGAGGGAATTCTTGCCCCGTTACGATGATTTCTGTGCCGGATTTTTTTCTGTGGATGTGCCAGCTCAAGACTAAACATTCTCACGGGAAATCTAGGCTAAAAAGTTTCTAATTGCTTAGATCCTCCACGACAGGGCCGCTCAACTGGACCTTGGGACGAAATTTTTCCCTAAATGTTTCGTGACTTCTCCAGAAACTTGCAGGAAAATTTTTGCATGGCTCATCTAAACAAAACCCGGCAATGTTGGGCAGTTTTATTTCAAGACTTGACTGAAATAACGAGTGACTTCTTTAGAACTTGAAAACAACGAAATATAAAAAGTTTTCAGCCACAATTGCAAGTTCACTTACTCAGTGTCCTTTATTTTATTCGAGATCCCATTTTAAAATTATTTCCTGCGTCAAGGACGCATAGGAGAACGGAAAATAATTTTTAGATTACTTTTCTTTTTGTAATGTCTTTTATAATCATGCTCATATGTCCACTTCAACTTCTTAGTTATGAAGTAATTAAAAAAGTATAATAATTAGAAAAACAGGAGACTAGAAATTTTCAGAGGCAAACGGCGCTTTCACCGTTTGTGGAAATCTACTACTGAAGCGTTTCGCCCATTTCTGAAGGGTGAAATGGGCGAAACACTTCAGTAAATGCATTTCCTTACTCGGCTGTTTGGTGGATAATATTTTGTCTTATTATACAGCGCCTACCAAGTCATCACCTAAATAACATTCAGTAATAAATCACACAATGTTATGCTAATGTTTCGCCTAAAATTCTGAAAATTTTGTCTATGTCAATAATATATAGATTTTATCCGATGAAGCATTCTCGCCGCCGAATTTATATTATCGAGTTTTTGGAAAGAAATATTACTCTTCACTAATCTCTGTTACGTACTGCTGGAAATATTTTTGCATAAAAGAAATAAGTTCTATTTCATATGAAGTAAATTTTGCCACTAACCGTGTTTTTTCTTGGTGGAAAATAGTGGATGGTGGATCTTGAAAATCCACGCGACGTTCTGGATTTCGAATCGATATATTTTTTTTGGTTTTGCAACCCATTAGGTCTATTGAAGCAGTTCACGCACAGTTCTGGAAACAATTTATCACGGTCCTTTGAACCGCATAACTCCGAAATAAAATCACAATAATTTTAGAACATGGAGAAATAATAAGAGAAGTCAATTCTTTAAGTCGTGTGGAGGTTCGGGCAGAAATTGTCATTGTGAAAAATTGCCACGTGACCGCTGATGGAAAAAAGTTCCCAGTGACATTAATCGTTACCCCATGCGGGGGAGGGGGCAATGCTCTCTATCTTGAGAAGATGGATGATTATCCTGTCCTACATGATTAATTTTCCCTCCATTTCTAACGTAAAGCAAGGCTGTTAATATGCGATCACATAAGCAGAAAAACAAATATTTACAAATTTTTAGGATAAATACTAGCATAGTTGAGCGTGTATGAGAAGTTTGATATAAGAACAACAAAAAGAGTAATGGCAGATTTTTCATGAAGTGATGTAAACTTCAAACAGCTCTACGATAATTAAGTATTTCCGAAAAATGGAGGATTTAAGGAAGATTTATGTAGGGAAAACGACGATTATGTAATTAAGATTTATGTAGGAAAATTAATCCCATAGGCTCACACAAAAATCGTGTTTATTATGCAATTTTTATATTCATATACATTTTGGTCTTCTTTCAAAAATAATATATTCGAAATTATTGCAGAAGAAGTCGTTTACTTGTTTACTTCTGTGCTCCAACGTGTCTCGATCATCAAACGTACAGATATCCAAACAAAAAGTCAACGACTCAAATGAGAGACGCGCAACAAATGATCTATATATTTTTAATAATAGTACCAACTCCCCAAATCAAAATGTCACTCCTGATTTATAAGGCAATTCTTCAGAATGACTGAATATTTTAGAGTCATACACAGCAACATTACCCGAATTCTAAAATTAAAATAACAAAACAAATGAGTAAAATAGATTCTGACAAATTTAACCCTTTCGTAACTTACGGGACTTCTAGGTCTCAAATCTTTAGGTCCGAGTAGCATTGACGACTTTAAATGCATCCATGCCGAAATGGTTACAAACTCAAACATGGATCCACGAACTCATAAATAAAACCAAAAAAAACTCAATCTGTCGAACAATGCATAGACTCACCTTCTTCAGCGTCCTGGACATCCTCGAGCGTAGAACTGTTCACAAGGGCGCCTGATGTATGGGCGATATTGAGCTCAGCAAGCGCTGAAGAGATAATGGTGCACTGACTGAACACGCCCTTGCCTCCTGTAATGATTCGCTTAATAAGTTACTTGTTTCCTTGCTGATTATTGGCTCAAAAGTTTCCTCTGAATTTCCCAATTTGTTCCGGAAATTATTTTCCATACAGAAATTTATCGCGCCAGCACCTACACATTCTTGGAAGCAGTCACTTTTTGACCCTGTTTGGCAATGCATTTCACAAGCATTGCAGAGCTTTCTGACAAGATCATTGCCATTCAGTTCCACACTCTCGGTTCTAACTCGTGAACTCGTCCCAAATCCCTTCAGCCGGGCGCTTTTCATTCGCTTGTTTTCACACAAAGTTTTCAAAACTTTAAAGAGATTGAAGTGCAGAATAAAATAATAAGGGTATTGCCTGCACAGATTCGCAATAAAATATTTCAGGGAACGTGAAAAGTACTCACCCGCTAGTCCTAAACCAAAGTTTTCCGCTAAGAAGGTAAAAGAGCGATCTAATGACAAGAAAAACTTTTGAAGCACCATATGCACTCGCATTAAAACGCCGAAAGCAAAGATACACAAATGGTATAAGTTCGAAGCCACGTTGAGCAACGAAACATAGAAGAACCGAGAAGCTCTCGTCATTTTCTCTTCACATATTTCCACGAGAAGAAAATCAGGATTTGCACTTCTGCAAGGAGTAGCATTTTTAGCGTTGCTCTGTAATGAATTGAAGCTGTTTCTCTTGACGCCTTTTGCATCGAATGTTTCATAGAAAATCATTACTTCTCTGCAAAAGACATGATTAAGATTAACATTTTTAGATACATTTTGGTATGATTTAAATTAAAAATGAATTAACATTTGTTCGCAGGAAAATCCGGAAGGAAGACATTCAGCTGATTTACTAATATTAATTGGATTTATGGTCTGATTGACACTTTCTCAGGGATGTGTGCGAAATTCCGAAAAGAAAATTTAAAATATCCACACCGAGAAGAAAAGTGTCTGCCATCCACCTGGTGACATGGAAATGAAGGAATAGACTTTAAAATTTTATTATCTTTTCAGTAATCAAAGCTCAACTCTGCTGTCAGCAAATGAAAAGTTTGAAGCAAAGCTATATAAGACCTGCGTTAGTGAAACAAAAAAAAAAGAGAGTTTTTAAGCGCGGTCGCGTGCTGGAATTTTCCCATCACAAAATATCTTAAAAGATTCCAAAATATCTGAAAGAGAAAAGCTTGGTAAAGATTCCTCGTTCGACATTATCCCTAACAATACGAAAGCTTGTAAATTAATGCGAAAATGGTCATGACAATCAGGGGTAGAACATTGATGAACAATTATCAATTTAAATTCATATTTGATCGTTTGTTCTCTTGACCCTAATTCATTTGGAAATCACTGGTTGATAAGGTTCGACTCATAAAGCTCCAACATGTCAAGTAAACTTATTAAATTTAGTCTCGTCTGTAAATAAAACCCTCAATTGACTAGAAATTTTACTAATAAACGTGCCCAAAACTGTCGGAACGGTATTTCATCACAAGTTTTAACTAATAATTAATTGTAAACGCTATCGCTTTGACATCGTAAACTATACAAGATACATGCGGCACATAAATGTCAGTTTCTCATCATGGACGACATGGATCCGCTACCCCAGAGACACAGCACAAATTGCTAAAAATTTGTATTCATGATAGGAAATTCAGAAATAGTCCAGAAAAATTTTGGGACTGTGAGAATAGCTCGAAAAACGATCAGGTCATAGGCCACTCGGAGATATTTCCCAGGGGCACCGCAACGAGCATCGCTGCGTGGGCCAAGCAGGGACTGGAAAAAAATCCAGCATTTCGACAATAGAAAATCGCCCGAAAAAAATAATTCAGAAGTAGAATGATTAAAGTTTAAAATCATCTACAGTATGAGTCTGACGCATGGGAATTATCTTGGATTTGAGAAGATCTGATTAGGAAAATAAATTGTATGGCAGTGTTAAATTCAACAGCAAATAATAATTTTACTCAAAGATCTACATCGAATTAGACGACAAAGAACTGAAATACATGCCAATTTTATTGTGAATAAAAATGTTTAGAAAATTTGTATACTATTTGTATACTTTAGCATAAAATTTTAAAAACACACCGTACGAGGTAATGTGCAATGGGGAAGTATTACGCGATTTATAAATCAACGAAGCAAACGAGCCTCGAGCGAGCGAATAATGTTCACTACGTTGATGAATTTGGACTAATCAACAACGAAAAAAAGTTTATTACAAAATATGCAATTAATAATTCTTACGCCATATTTTCATCAGCTTTAATGAATGCATCATTTCAGGATCGTCCTCTGGTGGTGATTGAATATTATTGAAATTCAATTGTTCTATTTTACTTACTTTCACAAAAAAATGATGCCACACTCCGTATAATAAAATTCGTACACCTAAACTATATACCAACCCCAAGAACATTTAACATGCCGTTGTAAGCACAATGCTACAACTATGAATATTTGATGCACTATAAGTTGTTGTCAATAGCAATCGCGCTTGGGACAACGAATATTCAATCATGAAACAAATTTGCATAAATTGATCTTTTTAACTGTTCCCTCTGGTTGCAATTCAATAGTAAACGGCTTGGTGTTACTTTGATCGTCATAACAGTGCATAATTCTACTCATTGTTTTTATAAACGAATTAAAAAAACGATTGAGCTAGTTATAGTTATCTATTTCATAATATTAGAAGTTGTAATATTTATTTTCATCAGAAAGTGTCTCTGTGTATTCTTTTTAAATTCGTGAAAAATATAATAAAATTGTCAAAAATATGTGCGCTTTTTGACTGAAATTTCTAGCTCAAGAAATTTCATATTCTGTTTGTATCGTGAGCAGTTGACAAAATTGAATCTCTGGAAAAAGAGATTTAATTTTTTCAAAAAATAATTTCAATATCTTTTCCATTTATTTTTCACTACAACATAGCGATATTGAAATAAATTCCACTAACCATCTAAATTCAGTTGATCAGTTCATGTTATAATGGTTACTGGTGTACTTTTTCTTCATCGGTTAAAAGAAGTGAACATCTCACCGTCAATTCTATTCGACATTCGACAATATTCGACAATAATATTTTATTTACCGAACGGATGTTTTTTATCATCCATTTCAAATGATCTTTGGACGATATTTTGATGTGATCATTGGTTACTCATGCGCAAGTCATGCAGTCCTGACTCTGTGACCACGCAACATTTTCCACTTTCGTGATCGCCGATTCCGGTTCTCATCGAGATGAGTCGAGTTTCTGAAGCGTAAAATTTGCATAGCTTGATGCTAACGCGGGAACTTTATGCTGATGCGCAAACTGCAAGGATCAACTCATCTCAACGCTCGATGTAGGATAAAACTTGTTTCACCTTATGCATGAGCAATGATGGCTGAAAATTTTCACAGTAAAAGCTTCATTATGAAGTCATTTCACATCGAATTTATTTCCCGCCCCGCGAATCGAAAAAAATACATACATCGATGCGGGAGTGCAACATTGAACGATTTAATTTTTAGCGAATAAATAATTTGGAAGAAGCGGAAAATGATTTGAACAGATTTGAACAGAATATTGCCAGAGATACGAGTATTTCATGTAGAGGAAAGCAAAACTTCAGGAAGCAATGTAAATTGATGATTAAATTTTGAATCAAATACTTTAATATCTTTCATGGCCAGGACACCAGCACAAATGTACAACTTTTGCACTTCCTTGGAGTCAAAATTACTAAATTGATAGGTACCATATTCAGCGAAACTCTTTGTCAATAAGGCATCAAAAGGTTGTGGGATACAAAAATGAATTTGAATTATCAACCTCAGCAAACATTAAAATTAACACTTTATAATTTTATTAATTACAAGACAACAAACTAAACTTCTTCTAAACTTGCTCACAGGCAAGTATACTTACCTAAATAAAAAGATTCAGTGCAATAAAAACCTAACGTTAATGCCATTAATTTGCAGAGAGCTGAATTTAGACTTCAATGCCACTGCAAAAATATCAAGATCTCAGTCAGTTCAAGTCAAGGCGAAAATGAAAAAGATGCGAGCTTTAGCTCAGGATTTGGCCTACAGGAACAAGGCAGCCTTGAGTTATCAACATAGCGTGAGATATCTCAGTAGTCTAACATTCCATGTGTGCTAATAAATACACAGATTTAAAAATCTGTAAAGTCATTGTGGATGGAAGTATCATGAGAATAATATATAATTAAATTTTGTTGCCTCTGTAGGTTGAAAATAAATTGACCTCGAGGCATTCCTTCCGCACGAACCTTCCGCACGAATATGAACCATTTTTACAACTGAAAATTATAAAAAAGAGGTGGGATTTCTACAATTTTTATACAATAGAGTAAATTTTTTAGCAATAGAGTAAATTAAAGTCGCAATAATATATAAATACATATTGTGATAAGTTTAAAACCCTAAACATGCATATGCACGTTTAACACCGTCTCAACTATGATCAATAATGCAGAGAGTTTCCATAGTTTTCATATAGGATACTAGGGAATGCCATGAAAAATAACTCGCTCCAATTCTCAGTGCGTAGGTTATGAAACATAAATTGTTCAGAGCGTCACAAACAGCAATCGCTTACTTTCTTCAACAAATAATTTCAGGTTGTCAATTTTTTTTGTCCCTATAATTAACAAGCGTTATCTGTAGGAAGTGCTGCGAACTCTCTTGTGAAATGGCTATCAGTCCAAAATTCTAGTCAAATTCCATGGAAATATGACGAAAAATAAAATCCTATCAACACCATAATCGATATTTTTCAACTAATTGCTTTATTTGGCTTCAATTACTTTACTTCTTTAGCTCATTCAGAGACTCAGAGTACAGTGAGTACGATGATATAACTCATATTATCCGAACTAATTCTACCATAAGAAAACTGTTCGCATTTTTCGTAAGATGTGGAAACAAATTTTGACGAATTCTATCCGATCACTTGGAAAAAATATATATTATCCGAATCTAACCAACAAAACATTTCAAACCGTCCTTAGGGAACGGTTCTGTATTTTTAATCATATCATGAAAATAAACAAACTAACACCAAACACTAAATACCACAGGATTAATTTTTTGTAAACTTGGACCTCTATTTCGAGGGCAAAAATAAGTAACTAAGGGGGAGGAAATTCGTTTTTATGGGTTGGTTGTGTGCTTACAAAAGACTGAAATGCAGCAAATGATTGATGAGAGTAAAATGTCTTAATTACGTGCAGCAATGTAAGATCGGTATCTACAAAAAAATGCTTGTCTGAGAGATCGAATCGAATGAAATGTAGCGAAAAAATAATAATAAATAACATATGCCTAACATCAAGGAATGCATTACGAGTCACACAAGTAATAATTTGAAGACAGTTGAAACTTTTTAAAACCGTAACCGTGAAACCCAACGTTAGCTAATTTTATTAAAAATATATGCTAAATGAGATGCCCGATTATATTAGACAGAATAAAATCGGGCTTTGTTTTGAATGATACAATAGGGCACACCTAATTCTGTCGTGTCACTCTTAAGCATCCATGTTCTTATAAATAAAAATAATGAATGAAATTTTCATATGAGAAAATTCTCGATAATGAAGGACTAAGATAGGAGGGGGCTTAAAATTCACTGAAAGTATATGAAAAAATCCATTTCTAGAGACGTAGAGATAATGTCTCAACTTTGGAATGGATATCTAAGGAACATAAGGAAAATTTTTCGAAGGTGATACGAGCAGCGACGCCAATGAAATTCAAATTCATCGTTTTAATTTTATATGTGATATTTGCACCATTTTAAGTTCCTCGCATTTTGAGTTAATTGTATAGTGATTCTTCTACACCGTTCCGTACCATTAATCAAAAGTTAAATCTGGCGCAAAAGTACTGCTTAAAACTCACGAATAAATATTATAGATGGTAGACTCGTGCACTGAAATCGCAAAATTTATTAAAGTTTTAGCTTATTCTTTCAAATAATTCAAGATTATACACAACCTATATTATCAATTTTTTTTTTACTCAGCTTATTTTCTGATGATTGACATATCATCAGGGGCCATAAAAGTTTTTACTCCAATGTTTTTGGAATAAATGGATCCGATAACTCATTCCCCGCTGCTGTGTGCTAAAGGCAAAAAGATAACGGCGAAGCATTATTGGGTACAGAAAGAAATTTCATGGATTTCTGACCAAAAATTATAGTCTTGTGGTATACGAGGCATATAACGACCAATATTGTAAATTAATACTTCATTTCACGAGGGCTTGATTATAACGCAAGTTGAAAAAAAAACCTGAGTTCAAAGGCGATCGAATTTAATGTTTTCATAAAGGAAAGCAGTGCAATATTATTTACTAGTGACGAGATTGGCAATTAAATGCATTTTCTAGTACACAGATGCCAGCAATCAATCTAAGAAAAATGTCAAACCCATACGCTATGTTTTGAAGGCATGATACCTTTGTTACACGAAAATTGAAATTTTGTTCCACTTTAACCCCATGTCAATTGCAGAAGTCAGCGAAGAAATGTTTCAACAAAATATGTTTCTCAATATAAATAAGAATTTATTGGCAAGTAACTGATGTTTTTGAGTCTTCATTCCGCAGATTTTTAGTAAACCTGTCGTCATTAACGTATGAAAGTATATGAAAAAATCCATTTTTAGAGACGCAAAATAATCTCTCATATATGGAAGGAATATCTATGGAACATAAGGAAAATTTTTCGAAGGTGATACGAGCAGCGACGCCAATGAAATTCAAATTCATCGTTTTAATTTTATATGTGATATTTGCACCATTTTAAGTTCCTCGCATTTTGAGTTAATTGTATAGTGATTCTTCTACACCGTTCCGTACCATTAATCAAAAGTTAAATCTGGCGCAAAAGTACTGCTTAAAACTCACGAATAAATATTATAGATGGTAGACTCGTGCACTGAAATCGCAAAATTTATTAAAGTTTTAGCTTATTCTTTCAAATAATTCAAGATTATACACAACCTATATTATCAATTTTTTTTTTACTCAGCTTATTTTCTGATGATTGACATATCATCAGGGGCCATAAAAGTTTTTACTCCAATGTTTTTGGAATAAATGGATCCGATAACTCATTCCCCGCTGCTGTGTGCTAAAGGCAAAAAGATAACGGCGAAGCATTATTGGGTACAGAAAGAAATTTCATGGATTTCTGACCAAAAATTATAGTCTTGTGGTATACGAGGCATATAACGACCAATATTGTAAATTAATACTTCATTTCACGAGGGCTTGATTATAACGCAAGTTGAAAAAAAAACCTGAGTTCAAAGGCGATCGAATTTAATGTTTTCATAAAGGAAAGCAGTGCAATATTATTTACTAGTGACGAGATTGGCAATTAAATGCATTTTCTAGTACACAGATGCCAGCAATCAATCTAAGAAAAATGTCAAACCCATACGCTATGTTTTGAAGGCATGATACCTTTGTTACACGAAAATTGAAATTTTGTTCCACTTTAACCCCATGTCAATTGCAGAAGTCAGCGAAGAAATGTTTCAACAAAATATGTTTCTCAATATAAATAAGAATTTAACTGATGTTTTTGAGTCGTCATTCCGTAGATTTTTAGTAAACCTATCGTCATTAACGTAACCTTGCTGATTAGTAACGAGCAGTCGGCAGCATCCACCTGCACCAACCGCCTCGATTATATAAGCAGACCTAACACTCAGAAACGTGAATGGATCGTATTGTAAAAATATTGACACATTATCTCCATGTGGCACTGACAATTTCTTGTGTCGTGCAAAATTTGGTGACGATTTCCCACACAAAAGCATGAAGTGCATCGCTATTTAGACAAAGCCAATCAATTTTTTCTTAGTGTAACTTACATAGGGGTAGTGGGGTCCCAAAATTTTGAAGTTTACAAAGACCGCACCCGAGTCTATCGCCCCCGAGCCCTCATTGCATGTGAATTCATTTCAGAAGCAGTGAAAGTTAAAGCCATGGCTGCCGTGCTAACTTTTGGAAGCAGGTCTTACAATACAAATAATTGCGGTTCCAAAAGAAATTTATCTGCATTTGATTGGAGTCATAGGTTAAGTCAATCATCCTGACATGAAAAAATAGCAAAGATTAATGCAATTGAATATATATGTGGATGAAGAATTTATAAAGTAGGATTATCGTTTGGTTTGTGAGACAATTTGAGGCGATAGCAATTAATTTATTCATATTCTGCGTTTACTGTACTAATTGCGGATCAAAACACGAGATATGTTAACTTATATGATGATTGATATGTTTTCAACGTGCCATAAATATTCTATGAGGGTCGTTTAAAAAAGCTATTAAATGAAAAACTGTACCTATGAAAGTTGAAAGGCAAAGAGGTTTAAGCAGTTGTAGACAAGAATGTATATAGTAAGATTAATGCACTTTATATTATATAATTACTTCATAACGTAGTTTAATTAGATATAAGGAAGCAATTTTCTGATAAATCCTTCCTAATGATTGAGAGCTACCGCAGCATTAGTTGGATGAATATTTCATCATTAAAAATGATATATATGTATTGTAAGTAAAATAATGGAAGTTCGGCAATAATATTACTCTGAAGGGTGAAAATCGCACGAGGGAATATCCTCGCAGCTTAATACTCTGCACAATTTGTAATTCAAATCCATACATACATTTCTTCAGCTAAAATGATACGTCCAAAGTACATTTGTCAATAGAGTCAAATGGTACAAAATGATACAAAAAATACTATGATGTCTTAATGAGGAACTGCAGCTGAATACTATATATGTATTCTAGCAGAGGCATTATCAAGTCAAATCCGTTCTCATAAAAATCATTAAAGAAAATATCAAATTCCCATAGAAAAATATTACTGATTTTCTATTGAAAATATGAAAAACTAAAATATCCTACACCAACAGATTTTTCACTGGAAAACCATTCGAGCGATCAGAGGTATTGCAGAAAATCTTCGAAGCGGTATAGTTCTAGATAGTTATTGGGAAGAGCGGTAACTGTCGAGGCTTGAAGAAATCAAAATTTCCTTCTATAACAGAGGTTCTTACTTACGTGGTTTTCACCTTTAAGACTCGACATAAAACTGCATTCGAGACATTGTTACTCTTGAGAATTCTTGATCATTGATACTCATACACTAACGGACTGTGAGCGAAAGTTTTTTTAAAGAAAGCGTGACATAGAAACAGCAAATTACTTTTACACGTCATGAAAAATTTATGAAACTCTAAGATTCATACTGAACCTGCGCA